AATATTACCTAGGCTTAAAAAGGAGTGAACTTCTGACCCATGCCCCAACATGAATGAATCTTGAAGATATAATGCTAAATAAAATAAGCCAGCCCCAAAAGACAGCTGCTCTATGATTCTCCGTATATGAGTCACATTCCTAGAGACAGAATGTGGAACAGTGATTGCCAGGGGCTGGGGGAGGAAGAATGGGGAGCTAGTGTGGAACGGGTGTGGAGTTTCAGTTTTGCAAGAGGAAAGAGCTCTGGAGAAGGATGGTGGTGATGGTCTCCCAGCAGTGTGAATCACCTTAGTGTCGCTGTGCTGTACGCTTAAAATGGTTCAGATTGTAAATTTTATGTTATGCATATTTTACCAGCATAAAAATAAGCAAAGACAGAGTCTCAGAAAGCTCACAGATAATGCCTGTAGGTGGTCTGCTGGTTGTCCCAGCGCTCCATGGGATGAGCAAGTGGGTAACCTGTGAGTGTGCAGGGGGTGCCCAGCTTGCCACCCTGCCTGGGGAAAGGCGGTCACTTCCCGGCTCAGGGTGGCTCCCTGGGGACCCAGCTATGGCTGGAGCTTTGGGCACAGTGACAGAACTGTCTCTCCACGTCTTTGTCCTCACTGTGTTGTCATCCATTGAGTGCAAAAGGAATTTGCTCTCTAAATTTGTACCCACTCTTGTCTCTGCTCTGGGCAAGAACATAACTGACTAGTCAAAGGCCCTTCTGTTTATATTTGGAGTCCACAGTTTAGACAGATCGTTTCTCTCTGTCTGAGTGGTTGGTGTTCTTTTCTTTTGCCTTGTAATGACTTACATTAATTCTTAGCACTTTCTTGAAGTGGTTGCATGGGGCGTTGAGCTCCTTTTAAGCTACTGGTGTTCCTGGTGTTTATTTCAAGTGATGACTAATTGAACACGCACGCTTTCTGGTGATGTTCATGTGATGGATGCACCGCGGGCTTTCCCGCCAGTGGAGAATTCATTCCTGGGCAGCCCCTGGAGATGTGCTGACTGTCAGCACTGTGTTCCAGCATAGTCGTGTTTCCTTGAGGGCCTCACATACTCTTCTCAGGTAGCAGAAAGGGACAGAGACTTTCCTGCCAGCACCAGGTCTAAATGGAAACTTCTAATGGCAGCAGGCTGTGAGAACTTCCCTTGGAAAGGTCATTTGTGAAAGAGGAGCTTCTGGTCGTTCTGTAAGTGATCCCTCTTCACTTACTTCGTTCGGACAGTGCTATGTGACTTCGGAAAGTGACATCCTGGGCAGTGACCTGTTGATAATGTGAGGCCAGATGCTCTTCGACGTTGGATGCTGAAGAGCCACTGGCTTCTCCCTTCCTCAGGACTAGTTCCTGTGAACTGTCTGCCTTCAAGTTTCTTAAAATGTGTTTCCTATCTTCAGATGAATCTTATTTGTAGAAAAGAAAAACAAGACCAAGGTTATTATCTCATTGATTTTTGACAAAAGAATCTAATGAAGAAATGGAATCGTTGGTGAATCTTGACTGCTTGATTTTCAGTAGACTCGGTCATATCTAGGTTATCAATGGGAGAGAAATTCATTCTTTTGTTCATTCCTTCATTTGCTGTCTTTGGCCTGGATATGCTGTGTGGGGATGTGAAGGCTTGGTTTTAAAGTTAGTGTAATGTGGCATCTTACTTGGTGACCATGAATAGGCTTTGGAGTCAAGAAGTTTGAAGTTTTCCATAAGGTTTGTGTTTGTGTTTTTCTGTGGGGAGAGAATTCCACGGCTTCTGTTAGGTTCTCAATGGGATCCAACCCCACAGGTATAAGGAGCCTTCTGAAATGCTCAGAATATGTCATTGTGGCTCATATGGTCCCCTAATTAGAGTTGTCACCCTGTTAAAGTAATACTTCTTGGATATTTCAGGTGGCTCTTTAGAAGTGGATAGTGTGAGAAAAAAGTGAGCAGAGGGAAGGAGGGAACACTGTAGACTCTATAGTAAGCATTAAAATGAAGAAAGATTGGCTCCATTTTATTTAGAAAATAAATACTTGCTTTTCAGATGCTTGTTGCCTCCCCTAATCTTGCAGAGGAGCATCAAGAGTGTAGATTCTGAAGCCAGACTTCCCAGGTTCAAATCCTACCTCTGCCATTTAGTGGTTGTCTGTCCTTCAGTAAATTGTATTATTTCTGTGTGTCTGTAATGTTTTCTTACATCAGATGGGGATGATGGAGCTTTTGCTTACTAAGGTTGTCATAAGGATTAAATGAGGTGATACAAAGTGCTTCTGAGTATGTAATACATGGTAAGAAGAAAAAGAAAGAAAAGTCGCTCAGTCATGTCCGACTCTTTGTGATCTGTTGGACTGTAGCCGCCAGGCGCCTCTATCTGTGGGATCCTCCAGGCAAGAATACTGGAGTGGGTTGCCATCACCTTCTCCAAGGAATCTTCCCAACCCAGGGATCGAACCCAGGTCTCCCACATTGCAGGCAGATTCTTTGTTTTCTGAGCTACCAGGGAAGCCCCTAATACATGGTTAAGATCTTAATAAAAATAAGATCTTAGTAAGTGTTAGCTCTTATGATGGAGTCAGAGGTGGTTCTTATTAATGTAAAGAGTAGTAGAATACACACGGTTCAATTTCATTCATAAGATGCAGACAGTTCACTTTCTGTGTGCGTGTGTTTTTGTGGTGGTTTTGTACCTATTTCTGTGTGCATGTGTTTTTGTGGTGGTTTTGTACCTATTTCTGTGTGCATGTGTTTTTGTGGTGGTTTTGTACCTATTTCCATGAAGTCACCTGTCTTCAGCATTTGTCTATTGATGAACTGCTTCAGGTAAATTTTTGGTGCACAAGCATTATAAAAAGTGAGAGAATGCTGTGCCATATCCTTTTAGTAAAATGGGATGGTCTGTGTTCTTGTCACAGAATGTTGCATGAGGAGGTTCTTTGTGTTAAATGACTACTTGTGAAATGACTGGATGACAATATTATATTTCCTTGTCTTTAAAAATATAGTATGCAGCCCCTGATCCTAAATTTCATCTGGGATGTGGTTATTGAAGACTCATAGTCTGTTTCACTTATGTGATTAATTTCTCCATCATTACTAGACTCTAGAGAGTTGCTTTCTGTATCTTTGTGTTCATCTTTTGACTCATCTGATAATTGTGACATGCCTTCTTCTGACAGGTTGATGCTTTTTGCCACTCTGGGTGGAAAATAGAATTCCACACAGTGAATTCTCAACTGTGTTTCATGAAAGCTAAGGAAATGACTGCAAAGATGGTATCTTCAGACTTCTTTGATATACTTTCCTGAAAATGATGCTATACTTCAGGCAGGGCAATGAGGAAACTGAAGGGTGATATTGTAGTGATAATTTCTTTTACTTTTGCAATATCTTGGCCAAGTTCCTATCATTCTCTTGCTTTCTTGTGTATGTGCACACTCAGTTGCTCAGTCGTGTCTGATGCTGTGACCCCATGGACGAGTCCTCAGGCTCCTCTGTCTATGGAATTTTCCAACCTAGAATACTGGGGTGGGTTGCCATTTCCTTCTCCAGGGAATCTTCCCAACCCAGGGATCGAACGCATGTCTCCTGCATTGGCAGGCAGATTAAAAATCATGGGTGGGAATAATTGAGAAATAATGATGAAATAGGCTTTCCAGATGGCTCACTTGTAAGGAATCCACCTGTCAATGTTGCTAACACAAGTTCAATCCCTGGGTCGGGAAGACCCCCTGGAGAAGGAAGTGGCAACCCACTCCAGTATTCTTGCTTGGAGAATCCCATGGACAGAGAAGCCTGGCGTATTGTCCAGGGGGTTGCAAAGAGTCAGACATGACTAAGCGACTGAGTACACACCCATTCACACCTCCCACCTGGTACTCACAGTGGTGAAATGATTCCTGCAATGGAAAAATAGCAAAATGTTTCAAGATGTTGGAAAATAAAATCACTGACCTCCCATATTGCATCTTAGATTTTTAAAAGGGTGTGGTGAACTCATGAAAGTTGTATGATAAGATGAGTTTTTGGAAAACCTTCAAGATAGAATAGAAGTCATGAAATAGCAATCCTTACAAATAGAACTGCTTAAAACAGGAACTCGAAACTAACATTGAATCCAGGGTACCCTGATGATATCCTGGGGTTAATTACATTTCTAATAATCTGTCTGGAGGAAATCACCAGAAAGGCAAAGGTGAACATCTGAAGGTACTTATTCCTGTGAGGTTTGGTTTTTTTTTTGCTTTTGTTTTGTTTCTTAAATAGGAAAAGTCATAAATGTGTATGAGTAAAAGGCTGATTTGGCGCAATATATCAATCATATATGATGATTTAAAGTTATATTCTCAGAAACTCTGTAACGATAGAACACATTATGATAGAATATTAGAGTGGAATACAAAGATGTGTGTACAATGTGAGGTCAACTATGTACCTATATACATAGAACAATATTGGTAGCAAATACATACAGTTTTTTTTCTGGATGATGTATGATGAGTGATACTTAATTATCTACATGGTTCTCTATCTTCTAAAATCTATAACAGGCATATGTTGTTTTCTAAAGAAAAATCTCTTTGTGATGTCGAAGCAAATTATTTTTTATAAGTCATTAGGATGTTGTGTACCTCCCATACAATTTACTCTCTTAGTTTCCCATTCAGTGGGTTTTAGTATCATCAAAACCACTGTTCAGCCATCACCACAATCAACTTTAAAACATTTTCATCACCCCCCAAAGAAACTCTATGCCCATTAGCATTCAGTCTGTTTCTCTCCATCCTGCCAGTTCTAGGCAACCACTTAATCTAGTTTCTGTCTCAAGGGGTTTGCCTATTCTAGACATTTCATTTAAATTGAATCCTACAATATGTGACTCTTTGTGACTGGCTTCTTCCACTTAGCATCATGTTTTCAAGGTAAAGCTGATTACTCTTGTGCTTTAATTCACTCATTTTGTTTACTCATTTTGTCATGCTAACCTTTATTTATCATGGGATATAATGTCTTTTTTCCTCCTTTACTTCTAGAACTGGTTCCTTCAATTATGAGCAACTTGTTAAACCCAGATGCCATCTTCTCAAACAATGAGATGAGCCTGTCAGACATTGAAATTTACGGCTTTGATTATGACTATACCTTGGTGTTCTATTCAAAACACCTTCACACACTGATATTTAATGCTGCTCGGGACCTTCTCATCAACGAACACCGGGTAAGACCACAGGGACTTCCAGTCTCCCCCCCGCCGTCCTCCCGTGGGGATTGAGCTGACCCGACCTCAGCCGGCACAGTAGATGTCACTTAGTAAATTGTTGCTGAATGTGTGAGCAGATGTGGTTCCATTCCAAATGACTGTCTGGAAAATAGTCTTTTTAAAAAAACACTTTTTTGAGTTATGATTGACATGTAAAAAGCTATATATATTTACATATATATATATATACACATATACATATATATATATAGATAAAGCTCATTGAGTTTTGGGATAAGTGTATGAAACCACCATCAAGGTCATAAACTATGCATCACTTAACCTAAGTTTCCTCCTGCTCCCTTTATTGTTATTGTTGGGTGTATGCATGTGTGTGTGGTAAGAATGCTTAACTAAGATCCACCCATTTAGCAAATTTCAAGTATAGAATACAATATTGTTACCTATAGGTACTATGCTATATAGTAGATCTCCAGAACTTATTTATCTTGCCTGACTGAAACTTTGTACCTGGAAGGTAGTTGTATGTTTAAAAAAATCTTTAGATGTCTCTGATAGAAGACTGTCCCAAGTTACTCATTAGTGGAGATTCAGCCATGCTCGTTTGCACTATGCTGTCCCACAGAGCAAGTGACATAGGTCCTCCCAAAGTCTGATGAAGGGGCAGCCTGTTAATTTCTTGTTAGAAGGAATTCTTCAAATCATGGGCAGCGTTTTGCCCTCATCACTGAACCTAGTTGCATTCTTAGATAAGGAATATTTGAATGTCTTCTGATGCATAGTATTGCTGAGAGCTTAGAATAAAGAAGAAGAAAGAAACACTCTAAACTGAATGTGGTTTTCTCTAGTCTAGTTGGAGTACATTTCAGGAACCAGGATGAGAAGCATCTTCAGAGGTCGTCTGACCAGTGCCCTTTGAAAACCCCCCATAGCATTCCAAGAGAGGTGACTGGAGTGCATCACTCCCAGAGGTGTTCTGAGCTTGGGGAGATCCTTCCACTGATACAGTCTTTTTCCTTCATTTATCCCTTCCCACATTCCTTCATCCTTTACTCAGTGCCTCTTCTGTGCTAAGCTGTCCCGGAAGCAGGCAGGATGAAGGCGAGTAGGATCCAGGTTCTACCCTTGGAGAGCCAGGAGTCTAGTGGAGGTGTCTGTCCTGTGGGCAGGTAAATTATGGAGCCTCCACCTGGTGGAGCCCTGCAGACATCTGAACAGAGAGCGAGACCTGTGTGGAGGGTGGCTTGAACCGTTTTCTCTGCCTGAGGGAATTTCCCTGCAGGAATTCCTCCTGCCTGAGGAAACAACCGAGAAGGTGATATTTCAGTGGAGTCGGGAAGGAGTTTATCCACAGAGGTGGGCTGGGGGTGAGCAAGGGTGGACATGAGTAGCCTAGAAACCTAAATCATGAACATGAATGTTTTCTCCTCGACTATCTGAGTCACGGGCTGGATGTCATACTGGGCCGTTAAGCCCTCCAGGTCTTCTCTTTTCCCAGTTGGATTATTCCTGGTTTTCCCAGCCATTCCCCTTTGGCCTTCTTTCTAGGCTTTTTCATCATTTTCTGTGTGCTCTGGTTTATCCCCCTCAAGTATGAGGCTCCGAATTGAAGCTGCTCCTGCAGGTGGGGTCTGACTAGTGTGGAACAGGGGGTGACCATCAGCTTCCTGGTTCTGGATAGCAGACCTTCAGTAATGTTGTTAAAGGGTCCAGAAGTTTTGGGTCCTTGCCATTTGAATCAGTGTATTTCCTGATTCCCCTCAGCTTTTGGCTGTTAGTGGGTTTAATAAGAAACTCACCTGTCCTTATTCACAATGCAGGAATGGTGCTTGCCCAAAGTAACACTCCCTTCAGCCACCAAGCTCTCTGTAGTTACTTCCACTTGATCAGAGGTAAACTCCTCTAGCCCCTCTCCGTCCAGCTGCATGTCTCCATCTGTTCAGGAGCCTCCCTTCTCTTCGGTCTGACCTGCGGACCTCTCCCCTGACTTTGAGGATGGCAGCAGGTTAAGCGCAAGGTGGTCCTGCCCCTGCTCTCCCATCTGCCGGCTTACCCCACCGTCTCCCCACCACCCTGCTGGAGAGCGAGCCGAAGGGGTCTTGCACTGCAGCTGGTATTTGAATTCCAGGTCGTCTGCAGTGTTTGCTGTGACATTACTTATAAAACTTATTTAAAAAATAAAATATCATTGCTGTGATATTACTTATAAAATGGAAGTCATTATGCTAATAGCACCATCTGTTCATTGTCTGCTGGGTGCTGAAAGCACAGGCTTTATCCTTTAGGTAATCTTGAGTAACAGACTTAATGCTTCTGGGCCTCAGTATTGTCCTCTGTGAAATGGGCACAGCAGTAGTACTTTCCTCACAACGTTATTGTCATAATTAAAGGAGTTGATTTATGTGAAGTGCCTGGCACATAGAAAACACTCAATAAAGGTTAGCTATTACTACTGTTTATTAGCTGTTACTACTATTATTGCTAATCTCCGTGACAGCCGTGCAGATAGAGAGTGTCTCTGTTTTACAGTTGAGCAAAGTGAGACTTACCGAGTTCAGCTAGTAGTTCAAAGCCACAAGACAAGAAAGAAGGCAGAACCAGAATTTGAACTTTAAAAAAATTATTTATTTTTTATTTCTTGGCCAAACCACATGGCCTGTAGAATCTTAGTTCCCCAACCAGGGATCAGATCTGTGCCCCCTGCATTGGAAGGGTGGAGTCTTTTTTTTCTTTTTTAAATGAGTAAAATTTTTTTTTTAAATTGTAGTGGTTTTTGCCATACATTGACATGAATCAGCCATGGATTTACATGTGTTCCCCATCCCGACCCCCACCTCCCGAAGGGTGGAGTCTTAACCACTGGGCCACCAGGGAAGTCCTCGAATTTGAACTTCAGTCTGTCTATTTGCAAGGCACAGATGCTGTCTTCTCTTCACATTGCCCCTTGTGGGATTAGTAACACCTTTTCTTTCTATCCTATGGGTTTATTGTTCAGATGAAAATAAAATATTCATGAGGATTAAAAATTTATGAAATTTGAGGGCAAAGAGAGATGAAATAAGGGAAAGAAAGGTATACTCCTTCTGATTAGAAAAGCTTCTTGATTTAAGATAGTTGAAATTTCATTCCCATTATGTCTGTTTGTTGCTTTGATAAAAGAAGTATGTCCTAACACTAATTATATCAGACATATTAATAGAGGCAATTATGCTTATGCAAATTTTTTTCTGGTTTTGGATCTGAAAATGATTCTTCCACGATGCTGTTGGAAGCACTGAGTTTGGTTCCATTTTTTTTTTTTTTTCTGCCAAAGACCTAAAGTACTTGAGAAGATGAGAGACATCTGCTTTTGAGATGCACAGTAATAGAGCAGCAAGTTTGCAATTTAGCATCTTCCCTAAAAGCAGATGTAAATGTTCCGGCCTCTTCATAATTATCCATTCTCTCTTCTTTTGTTAAAAGAGAGTGGGAGCTTTTTTTAAAAGATGGATTTATCTTTTCGGCTGTGGTGGGTCTTTGTGGCTGCATGCAGGCTGTCTGTCACTGCGGTGAGCGGGGTCGGGGCTGCTCTTCGTTGTGGTATGCAGGCTTCCCATTGCGGTGACTTCTTTTGTTGTGGAGCGCAGACGCTAGCGTGTAGGCTTCAGTAGTTGTGGCTCCCGCGTCTAGTGGCTCCATGGCACGTGGGATCTTCCCGAACCAGGGGTGAGTCTTAATCTCCCTTCGGGTGCTGTGCTGTGTGAGAGGAAGTCCGTCTCTGCAGCTGTGAGCTCTCCTTTCACTCATTCAGAAGGTATTCAATTGAAACATGTCCTGCCTCCATCCACTTCTCACCTCCCGCGCTGCCTCCGCCCTGGTCCACGCCACCATCACCTCGCACCCGATGGTGCGGTAGCTGTAGGCTAGGCCCCTTGCTTCCATTCTTGCCCCTTCGTCTGTCCTCCTTTCGGCAGCAAGAGTGAGCCTTTAAGCACTAGTCACCTCACTTTTGGACTCAGAATCTCCTCGAGCCTTCCCATCACGCTTGGAGTGACACTGAAGGCCTCCAGTGCTCCTGGACCCCCGGCTTCCTCACCCACCTCGCCTCCTCCCGCCCGCCCTCACTGCGCTCCTCCCACACCCGCCACCTGACTGTTCCTTGAACCGCCACACACGCTCCTACCTTTGGACCTCTGTGCTTGCCAGTTCCTCTGGTGGAACGTCCTGCCTGGCTCCAGGTAGCCCGAAGCCTTGCTCTTTAGTCCCCCCGCCCCCCAGATTTCCAAACCCTTTTAGTGCATTCTTTCTGCAGTACTTACCACTCTGAAGCACTGTACAAGTGTTGATTTGTTTTGCCTGCCCACCATAGGGTGGAAACTTCTTAGGGGCAGAGATGGTGTCAGTTTTTTTTTCTTTTTTCTTTTTGATGTTGTTGTTTTAGTTTTTTTGGCCATGCCGCACAGCATACAGGATCTTAGTTCCCTGACCAGGGATCGAACCCATGCCCTCTTCAGCAGAAGCTCAGAGTCTTGCCCACTGGACCGCAAGGGAAGTCCTGATGGTGTCAGTTTTGTTCACGACTGCATTCCCAGGCCTTGGCACAAAGTATGTGCTCTGTGAACACTTGACATACTCGTTGAATTCCACCTGTTAAGAGAGTATCATGATGCAGGTCGTTCTGTCCTGGCTTCATGTTCTGTGTGGACTTTGGAGAACTTTATTTCTGTACGCTTTTGCTCTCTTCTAACTAGACTCATAGTTCAGGTTACTTTAAATATCAAACTGAAACCTCTGAAAAGCGGATGTATCATATTTATAACTCACAGGCAGTGTTGTAATGTGGAGGTTCGCAGCTCTGTCCAAAGCTCCGTGATTGATTATCCAGGAGGGGGGCATGTGGACCGCCTGCAGAATTTAGGAATTATGCACATGGAAGTTTCTCTGCAGCATTTTAGTGTTAACTTTACTTGAAGCTGTAAAGTACAGTTCTGTAGCAGTCTAAGGGGAAACTTTGATCTCTGCCTGCACACACTAGCCTGTCCAGATTGCACTCAGAATGAGAACAAATCCAGGGACTGAAGGAAACCCAGACGACGCCCAAATCAGAAGATTTTTAATAAAACCCCAAGTAAAGGTCTTTTATTGTTTATAGTTCTTCTGCTGTCAGGGACACCAGTCATTTTCATGACACGCTGGGTGAGTCATGTTTTTCTGGCTGGCGATCACTTTCTAAGCTATATGAGTCCAGAAAAATCTAGCTGTAGGTCATTGGAGAGACGTGTCACTTCCTGGCTGATGGGAGCGTCTTTGACTTCCTCGACCAGATGTTACTGTTAACGGTGTTCCCAACCAGAGCTTCCGTGTATGTGTGTCTGTGTGTGTGAAGTGTGTTAGTAAAAATGAATGACCATACACGGTGTGCAGGATTCTTGGAAATGCCTAGGAGTGGAAATAAATAGCATCGAGTGATTTCTTGGCACACGTGAAGGGTGTTAGATAAATGAGCCCAAATGTGACATTTGACTCAGCGCTTCGTGCAGCTTGGCTGGAATTACTCCCTGCGTGTGGGTCAGCCTGGTGGTTCCAGGAGGCGTTCTTGCACACGCGTGACCTTGGCTGCGCACGAGGAGATGGCAGTGCAGTCACGCGGGGGGGCTGCCGTGCTGGCTGATGGTGGCCTCGCCCTTTACATGAACAGATTCCATCATGACTGGGAGGTCGTGGGGACACAGCCTCCCTGGACGCAGGAGTGGATATTCTGGCTGGTAGGTCCACGCTCTGAGCGCAGGGGCAGCGGGGAGACCCTGACCCCATGCCCCCCCACACCCCTGCTGTGCAGCCTGGGCCAGCTTGTCTCATCCGAAGCCTCTGAGGTCCCTTCTGTCAAATGGGCATGGTAGGGCCTGCTACCAGTGGGGTCACTGGGATTCTACTTCTGAGATCTGGGGAGAGAGGAAAGTAGTGGATAAAGAAGGGGCTGGGATTTTTGTGCACTAGGAGGGACAGGTTTATGACTAGAAAATAGCAGGGGAGCCAGGCCATGTGTTCTGAACCGGCATTGGAGCCATAACAGGGAACCATGTGCTGGGACAGGGTGTCTCTGGCCCCAGGGGGAGGAAGGCTGTACCGATGGCTAAGGCATTCCTGCAGCTGAGGTGAGAACAGGTAAGGCCTGGGAGGTTGGGAGACTGAGGCCTTCCCTGTGTGTGGGCAGATAAAGGGGAGGGGGCTCTGTGGCCCGGAGGCGCTTGGCCTGAAGCAGGAGGCAAGCTGTGGTCTGTCTCTTCTGACCACAGCTTCCTACCCAGGTGCACCAGCCGCCTCAGGCTCTGAACAAAGGCCAAGTGTGGATGCTGTCTTGACCTTGACCTTACTACGTAAGTCGTTAGCTGAAACCAATTCCTCTCTTCCTTCTTAGTATCCCGTGGAAATCAGGAAGTATGACTATGACCCAAACTTTGCAATTCGTGGACTGCATTATGACGTGCAGCGGGTAGGTGTAATTCTCATGTTTTTCTACAGTTTAGCACATCAGGAATAAAATGTATTCTTGGTGCTTTTCTTTGCTGAATGCATAAATTGATTTGAAATTATATTCTCTGGGGCTGCAGAACTAAATTATCCAAAACACTTTTGGATGAAGTCTTTCTCAGGAGACTGTATATTGGAAGAGTCTGAATGCATTTAGCCACTGGGCAATACTACTTATATCCAAATAGTCATTTTTGATGTTTTGAGGAGGAGCTGGTTGTCCTTTTTTTGCAGACAGATCATTTCCTTAATGGGCTGCACAGTGCTTTAATTAGCAAGCAAACCTTTCAAAAACATACAGTGTGTTTCTTTGTGTACGACAACTTAATGTTGATAGGATTCACAATGACACCTGGAACTTTCATTAAGTATGCAATTTGTGGTGCGTTAATTTACCTGTGCATGTGCTTGTGTTTTTGAAGGCGGTCTTGATGAAGATTGATGCTTTTCATTATATCCAGCTGGGAACGGTCTACAGGTAAGAGTAAGAGGAGGTAAATTTAATCCCCTCCCCCTAAAGTGACCAAATTGCTTTGGCTTTCAAGACTCCCTGACTGTTCAGTGTTGGGACCCTGCAGTGTGTATTTGTAAAGCATTCATTCATTTACCCGCTCGCTGCGTCTTTCAGGAACATTGATTGGGCCACTGCCACGTTAGGTGCTAATGGTTTGGCTTGTGAGGATGTCCTCAATGGGCTTGGAGCGTAGGTGGGAAGCCACACAAGGAAACCAGTGAGTGCAGTCCCCAGTGACCAGGCTAAGGTGGCCGTGTGCTCAGGCCATTAGGGGCCACTTCGGAGGACTCTGGGGAGGGCGGGCTCTCCAGAGACGATGCTGGCCCCCTGAGTGAGGGTCCTGCAGAGGAGGTGGGGAAGGATGGGGCGGGGCAGGTCGTTCCCACCATGATAGTTGAGTAGTTTGGACATTGTCTCTTTTCCTCCTGTTTATTAGAATTAGTAGAAGTACTGAGCTCAGTGGGAGATCTTTGTAACTGAAATAAAGGGTTTTGCCTCTTCTAATTCTCGAATTTGGGGATGCTGTTGAGGACTGGTGTGTGTGTGTGTATATATACAGGTATGTGAAAGTGAAAGTGTTAGTCACTCAGTCGTGGTTTGTGACCCCATGTACTGTAGCCCACCAGGCTCCCTCTGTCCGTGGGGTTCTCCAGGCAAGAATCCTGGAGTGGGTAGGGTAGCCTTTCCCTTCTCCAGGGGATCTTCCCAGCCCAGGGATCGAACCCAGGATTCCCACAGTGCAGGCAGGTTCTTTACCATATGTATAAATATTTGGTATTTTCTTTCTGTTCCTAAATAATGTGCTCATACTTCTGTTTCCTAATTTATTAATTCTGGGCATTGTCCCTGCTGTGAGGACTGAGGACTTGGCCCTCCCACACATGCAGCCCCATCTCCAGCCTCATTTTCCTAACCTCACTAAGATCCCTCTCTGGTTGCTTCACCATCTTGTTTGCATCATGATTCCACAGATTGTGTTCATTCTTAAGCAAGTAGTGCATTGTTTTCTTTCTTGTGCAGCATTTGGTTTTCCTCGGTTTAATAATCATCTCAGTTTTTATTTGCTTAGTTTGCTATGTAGCTATCTAGTTTTTTTCCTAAATGTTCCTTCACAGATATCAAGCAGGCATTTATTTCCCCACAACTCAAATGTTTTACATAATCCCTCACTATTTTTTTTTGACTACCGCCTCCTACTCTGATCTGCTCTGATTGCTCATCCAGGGACTTCAATTTGCTACTTTCTCTGTTTCCTGGCTCTCATCTCTTCCTCTCTCTAACTATACTACCTCCTTTTGCTGGAGCACATCCTGCAGTAGCTTCCTGGTGCCTCGTATGGCTGAGTCTTTCTGGGGATCTGTGGTGGTTCATCAGTTCCTGTCTTTGGGGTCCCATTGCAGACTCTGTTCTCAGTGTTGTTAAGTCAGCGGCCTCCTTTCACCAACTTTTCCAAAAACATGTTGAAATGTCTTATGTGCTGATGTCTTTGCTCTCATTTCCTTTGACCTTTTGAGCAGTTTATTCTTTTACTGTCATTTTAGTGGTGTTTCAAGAGGGAGAAGAGGTGGTAGTGATGATGCAAATAGTAATAGTAGTAAATAATAAATAGCAACTCAACAGTGTTGAGTTTTGCAGTGCAACAGATACTGCCGTAAGGGTTTTGATCCTCAAAACCTCATTTGATCCTCAAAATAATCTCATAAGGTAGGTACTGCTATTGGTCCCAAAGATGTTAATAAGTAACTTGCCCAAGGCCACACAGAAGTAGAATTCAGACCCAGACAGTCTGGCTCCTGACTGTGCTCTTGGCCCATGTGCAGTATTTCTGAATGTCTGAGAGTTAACTGGCAGTCTTCAGCAGATCTTTCGAATCTTTCCTTCCATCTCTGTTTCTGCCATCCACTCTTGGACTCAGACACTTACCCCTTCTCTCCTGGGCTCCTGTGGTTTTTTGCAGCACAGCCCCCAGACTGGATGTTTTGCTCGACTGATTTACCTAAAGCATTGCCTTAACAACCCCTTCTCTCTTCTGAATCCTGGATAGCTCCCCATTGTCTAAGGAATAGAGCCCAGATCTCTTAAATATTCCATCAGCCTTCTCTAAACCCTTAGCTTTCTCCTCTTCCATACACAGCTCTTTCACTTCCTCGATTGGTTAAAACTCTTGGTTGCAAGTGGCTGAGACACAACTCAAGCTGGCTTAAGCAAAGACCCAGTTTGGACTCACTAATGGTGTAGTCCAGGGACAGATCTGGTTGCAGGTGTAGCTGGCTCCAGAAGCCCAAATGGTTGTTGTCAGTGCTCTTTCTGTCTCTTGACACTCCTCCTGTCTGGGTTTGCTCACAGCAGGCCCCTCCGCGTGGTGATCCCTGGCAGTACCAGGCTTCCACCCTCAGCTCCAGGTCAAGCGGAGAAAGGGGGTTTTTCTTTCTAACAGTTTCAGCCAGTCTCAGAGGGAGTGGATGCCAGATCTGTGCAAATAGCAGGTAAATACCTTTCCTCTGAGTTCTCCTTTTCACCGCTCTGCATCTGTGCAGGCTGGCATTCTTCCAGGATGCGGTTTTCCTTCCTCTCTGCTTCTTGAACTCTCACTCGTCCTTCTGCGTGGCTGACAGGCGGCAAGGCCCGTCCTCGCCCTCTCAGCTTGACATGGTCTCTCCTCTCTTCTGGGCCACGCCATCCTGTGGCTCCTAATTACCTTGTTCCTTCTTCTCCAGGTAAATTGTTATGTTAGGGGTATGGATTGGGCTGGGAAGGAGGAGCCACTGAGGCATTTAAAGGGGAAGGAGTGCTCAGGTTGAGGTCCTGGAAAGATGGCTGGGGCCTCAGTGCTGAGTGGGGGTGTGGCGGCCGAGGCAGTGGGGGTGCGCGCGTGACTTCCTGAGTGTGAACCCCAGCCCCACTGCTCACCTGTGTGTGACCTCGAGCCCGTTCTTGACCATCTGTTTCAAAGCCTTGGTTTATTGCTCTCTAAAATGGGCACTGCTCACCTGTGTGTGACCTCGAGCCCGTTCTTGACCATCTGTTTCAAAGCCTTGGTTTATTGCTCTCTAAAATGGGCATGATTCCAACACCCACCTCAGGGCGGCTGGTTGTTCGGACTGGAGCAGGCTTGGGACAGCACGCGTGCTGAGTTGCTTCGTGATGTCTGACCCTTTGTGACCCTGTGCACTGTAGCCCACCAGACTCCTCTGTCCATGGGATTCTCTAGGCAAGGATACTGGAGTGGGTTGCCATTTCCTCCTCCAGGGGATCTTCCCGACCCAGGAATCAAACTTGGGTTTCTTACAGCTCCTGCATTGGCAGGTGGGCTCTTTACCACTAGCGGCCCCTGGGAAAATGTCCCTTTCCTCCTCTCCCCTCTAAAGGGGTAATGAGTGAGTGAATGGAGGGGAAGGGTGTGCACACCTCAGCCTCGCTCCCTTCTGAGCCCCATGCCCTTGCATCCCCCTTCATTGGGTGGCTTTCAGGTTACATGTGGGCTGTGCAAGTGAGCACTCCTGGGCGGAGGGGAAGACTGACTTCCCTCCACAGGCCTGTTCAGCACCAGCATCACAAGTTCTCTTTAGGAATCTGGTGAAAAGCTAGGGTTGTTCCCATCATAGCCATAGCGCGGAACTTGGATGGCGCTTCCCATGCACTGGGTGCCGTTCTCTTTATAGCAACTCATTGAATCTTCTCAGCAGCACCAGGAAGTGGGTACTGGTTTTGCCACTCATTTAAAAAATGACACTAAGACCCAAAGAGGTTAAATTACTTGTTCCTTGTCCAGGTAATCCCTTAGCAGGTGAGGGAGCTGGGATTTGAACCCAGGGTAGACTCGTTCAGATCTGTGCTCCTACCCATTATTTCTCATAAACACACAGGGTGTGTAAAGTAATTTTCATTGTGACTTCAGCTTTGGTTTAGGCCATGTTCAGGTGCAGTTGACTGTCCATCTGAGCCCGGCTCCAGCAGGTCTGCATGTTGTGGGTACCACCTGCAGCAGAATTCAGTTGACTGTGGCCCACTGAGTTCAGTGCATCTTTTGAGCTGGTAGTTGGTTATGTGGACCTTAAAGATGTGGCTTGTGTGGCCAGATGCCTGGAAATGTGTCCTGGAGGTGGCAGTGCTGCTGGAGGACTGGCAGTGTGGTCCTGGTGTGCGGAAAGAAAGGCAATTCACCCGGCAGAGGTCCTTTTTATTGTGTTGAGTCTCTTTCTAGGTGTTAGAGCCTTCAGGGCGTGTACTGCTTACTGCTGCTGCTTTAGCCAGAGTGGTTTTCCAAGGTCACTGTCTAGAAGAAGCTGGTGTAGTCCCAGTGTCTTATCTGATTTCTGGAGCAAAGATGGAAGGGAGGCACAGTGCTTTTTTGTTTTCAAAGGCCAGTAGTTGTTTCAAGTTAATCAAGATTGGAGGCAAAATACCAGTGACTCCCCTTGGATATTTTTAAAAGTAAGACAGGAGTGGAGAATGGAGGAAAGAGGCTGAGATGATGTTTTCATTAAAGTTACATACCAAATATAAATTATGTTTTGTATGTACTTTAATATTGACTGAGTGGTTTTGTGTGAGAAGCTGTATGAGGAACTGAAATTCGAGCTGAATTATAGCATAGCATGGTATTGCCATCATTCATTCTGCGGTTTCCTCACCACTGGAGTCTGTTTCTCGGGTGCCTTCTCCTCTTGAGAAGGGAGTGGGGGACAGACATTTCCCTTCACAGGGCTCTGGAGGCGATTCCAGGGGAGGAAGTCTGAGACCATTAAGTTGCAGGTGAAAGCACCTGCTCACACACAGGCGCCAGAGGCAGGGGTGGAATCTGGGCCGCTCACACTCCAGAGTTTGTTCCCTGCGTTCGGAGGAGCTGGGTTCAGTTACAGATTTGCTGCAGTCCCCAGAAGCAGGCAGATGGGGCATGTTCCCTCTGTTCTTACCGGTGGGGAACCTGGCCTCACTGTGATACGGCATTTGGGATCATTCCTGCTGGAGGTGGTGTCCGGCATCCTGACGTGGGGGTTGGTCCGCCTGAGCCTGGTGCCTGACTCTGCGTCAGCACTGACCTTTTTAGGGTAGAGTGTCAGAGGGCAGGAGAGTGGTGGGGACAGACCAGCCTCTCTCCCTAACGTAGTAAAAACATTAATAATAATAATAATAAAAAAAGAACAAAACCCACCAAAAGCGAGTCACTAGGAGACCGTGTGCCTGGTTAAAGGAGGCAGTGTGACGTGGTGGTTGCAGAGCCCAGGATCCAGTCCTGACCCACCACTTTCACTTTGGTGACCTTGAGCAGGATCTGCGACCTTCTGTGTTTTGGTGGCTTCTGCTGGAAAATGGGAAGATAACAGTGCCTCACTCCTGAGTCTGCTGAGAATGAAGTGAATGACTGTGTGAAATTCATTTCTGGCACCCAGTAGGTACCACGTGGTGTCAGCTACTGTCTTTCCTGCTATCACCACCAGCACAATGATGGTGGTGGTGATAGTAGCAGCAGTGTGCCTGTTATTTGTAGCAGTTACCAGTGGCATCACCTCCTGCTTCCTTGTGACAACAGCGTCTTGCACCTCAGCTGAAAAATTTCAGCAGTCAGTGGAGGTGTGACTATCACTGCCGTCTCTAACTGATGCTAACTGCCCTGCCTGTGATTTTCCCAGAGGCCTCAGTGTGGTCCCCGATGAGGAGGTCATTGAAATGTACGAGGGCTCCCACGTGCCTTTGGAGCAGATGAGCGACTTTTATGGGAAGGTAATGAGAAATTATTTATTTAAAGTAGCCTCTTTTTCCTTACGAACTGCAGCCTGGTAGCTTTAGGATCTTAAACTACTAGACTCTCTGCTCACAAGGAATCAAGAAGGCAACTGGGGTTGTGTTTTGAGAGACCCTCGATTTGAGAGAGGTGAGTATGTTCGAGTCTCTCCTGGGTTCTTTCATGATTCTCCTTTCTAGGCCCTTGCTCCCTACCTGATGAAGGCTCCTTACACCTTCCTTGTAGCCCTCCCCTATTTGCCACCACCTCCCCAGCTGTGTCCTCACTTTCTGGAGAAGTCACTGGGGTCGTCATTGTAGCAACTGTCACCTCCCCTGAGATTAAGAGCAGGACAGCACACTGCTCTGTGCCTAAGGGAGACCTCTGCCTTTCTAACTTTGGTGGTCCTCTTTGCCCTTAGAATTTTTGCTTCTTGTTTTATTAGATGCAGCCTCTTATTTGTGTTACCAAAATGCAAGGAAGATGCCTAGTCACCTGGTAAACTTAGTCTTATAAATCGCACGTGTTCAGGGAAAGACTCTTTTCCAAGCTCCCACGTGGGCTTTTGAGGGGGTGGGAGTGACGGTGCTCAAATTCAGGAGAGTTAGTGGCTTTTTATGTCATTCACACGGGCAAAAATCAATTTACTGCCTTTCCTCTGTGCAATGAAAGAGTGTGAGCTGAAAATTGGATGGAACCCAAAGGAGAACAGAAAGGGAAGGCTGGCCAGACTTTCGAGGGGAAGTCAGGGCATTTCCTTGGAAAGCCCGTTTGCACTTAGAGTGAGACGTCAGCCCTGCCGTGAAGGACAGGAAACAGGGTGAACGTTTTTTCACTTTTTAATTAGAATTTTTCTTTCCTTGTGGGGAGGGAGCCCGATGTTGATGACCAGGATCCCCCGGTGGGTGTAAAGCCTGCCGTGGCGTTGGCTCCCTTGCTAAAGCCTCCCTCCCTCTCTGCAGAGTTCCGGGAACACCATGAAGCAGTTCATGGACATCTTCTCCCTGCCTGAGATGACCCTGCTGTCCTGTGTGAACGAGCACTTCCTGAAGAACAGCATCGACTATGAACCCGTGCACCTGTACAAAGACGTCAAGGTTGTGTAGACATGGGGGCCACACGCTGCACCTCTTCCAGCTCAGAAGTAATAGGGTCTCTGGCTTCCACTGTCGGCTGCGTGTGTGAGATCGTCCTTCGTCTGGAACCTCTTTTATTTGCAGTTTAACCTTGGAAATCCTAAGAAAGGGGTTAGGAGAATTGGAAATGAGTCAAATTGTTTGTTAAAAGAAGAGGGTACTTGTTACCTGGATGTCTGTGTGCATATACAAACCCACATCATTTAAATAATTTTGTATTTATGTATTTAAATTTATGTTCACATTTACGTGTATTTATAATGCATTCTTTAAGCTGTCTGAGCTTTTTTCAGTACTTAAAAATGTGTTTATATATTGTTTATTTAATATATATTTTTAATGCATATGTCTAAGCATCTTTATATATATAATTTAAAGATCTGTCTTTTTAAAGGGGCTTCCCAGGTGGTGGAGTGATAAAAAAAATCCACCTGCCAATACAGGAGGCTCAAGATTCGAGGCTTCAATCCTTGGGTCAGGACAATCCCCTGGAGAAGGAAATGGCAACCTGCTCCAGTATTCTTGCCTGGAAAATGCCGTGGACAGAGGCGCCTAGCGGGCTGCAGTCCATGGGGTCCCAAAGAGTCGGACGTAGCTGAGTGAGCATGCAGTTGTAAAAGATCTGTATATACATACTACAGTGTTTTTATTATGTGTTCATGACTAGGTTTAAATATTGACTGCCTCAAATCATGGGTTTTCTAAAATACAGGGTGAATTGCAGTTTCTCAATATCAGTTTGGTATGGTTTTAACTAAATTTAAATCTTTAGTTTCCAGTCTCTGTCTTGGCTCACACAGATACTTCATCTTTAAGAATTTTTAAGAATTATTGGAGTTATGTAACCCTTAGCATTCATGAGGAAGGTTGTTTACTACAGAGTTCAGTTTTTACTCTGAAGTGTTTACTGCCACACATGTGTGTGAATACACACAGGTAGAGTTTACTGTGTTCCAGGCACTATTTTTCTGAATGCTATATGCCTATTAATTAATCTGATCCTTACAAGAATGCCATGAGATATCATCACCTTCATTTTACAGATGGAGAAATTGAGGCACAGAGAGGTTGAGTGAGTTGCCCAAGGACTTCCCGTTAGTAAGTAGCAGAGCCTGGATTTCAGGCCAGGAAGCTGGGCTCCGGCTTGCTCTTAACCACTTCCTTCTGCCGTTGTGCAGTTGAAACAGGCTTTTGCTGGAAGGTAATTGAGGGTGAGTTTACAGTCAGGAGCTGCTTGTTCCTGACAGTAAGCACCTATCAGTTTTCTAAGGCTTTGTGCTCGTTATTTAGCCACTAAATCATGTCTGACTCTTTTGCAACCCTGTGAATTGTGGCCCACCAGGCTCCTCTCTCCATGGGATTTCTTATGGCCCAGCTTTTCCTGCAGCCCAGTCCTCTGCTACAGGCTCCAGAAAGTTTCTGTGCGCTTTCAGGAGTGCCCCCCTGTGTAGTAGACCTGCTCAGAGCCCCCTAGGAGCAGGGCTGTGCTTTGACCCCTGCCAGGCATCAGGCTGCCACTCTGCCAGGTTCTTCCTTGTGTCTGCCTGCTGGATCAAAGCTCTGCCTGCGTTCCAAGCTCCTTGACAGTTCCTTGCCTTTTCGGTAGCGCTGAAGAGAGGAGGATCCTATCCTATCGGTCTCTGCCTCTTTTCTTAGGTCACAGAGTCTGTTGTTGGGGTCCAGAGAAGGGTGCAAAGATGAAAGCAGCAGTCCTTCCCTTTGTCGGGGTGACCTGAAATTACCTGGCCCTCATATGGCATATAAATGACTATTTATCCTGTGGAACTTCTTTCAGAATTGTTCACACAAATTGTCTCCTCCAAGTGACTCTTTTGAAAATTGCACTGGAACCTGCTGCTATCACCATGGAAACTTAAGTTTCTTCCTGCCCATGATAAATGGACCAGAATTTAGATTTCATTTAGTGCCTTGGTTGCCAGACTCTGCAGACAGATATTATCCTCAATGACCTTTTGCTTGTCCTCTCACTCAGACTATCTCAGTTATACTCAGACTGATTAAAAACCTATCTTTTGACAGGATTCAATTCGGGATGTGCACACCAAAGGAATCATGTACAGAGCAATTGAAGCAGATATTGGTATGTACCAGATATTACGTGAAGATCTACATTTCCTTTTGCTGTATAATTACGTAGGCATTTTACTCTCACTCCACGTCTGTACCTCTTCTTTAAAAAAGAATAAATTTATTTTTGGCTATGCTGGATCTTCATTGCTGTGTTCAGTCTTTCTCTAGTTATGGCGAGTGGAGGCTACTCTAGTTGGGATTCAGCAGCTTCTCATTGCAGTGTCTTCTCTTGTTGTGGAGCAAGGGCTGTAAAACACACAGGATTCAGTGGTTGCGGCTCATGGGCTCTAGAGCGCAGGCTCAGTAATTGTGGCGCATGGGCTGAGTTGCTCTGTGGCATGTGGGATTTTAGCTCCCAGACCAGGGATCGAACCTGTGTCCCCTGCGTTGGCCGGCAGATTCCTAACCAGTGGACCACCAGGGAAGCCCCCGCAGTACCTCTTCTGAGTGCAGTGCAGGCACCTTGCATCCTTGCACCTCACATGTCTCCCTCCCCTTTGTCTCAGAAGTTGACATAATCCTGACTCAAGTAGAGGAGTTGGCAGTGACAGCCACGTAAGTTTTTTCTACTTAGACTGAAGAGGCAAGGTCTTGGTTACTGATTCACTGGGCACCAATATACCGACTTGAACCAGGCTTCAAACCTGAAGGCTTTTCTCCCCTCAAGTGCCCCAGACAGTGCTGGATCCATCTGCCCCCCTTAGGAAGCGCTTGCAGGTTGGCTGACTTCACCCTGAAACCCTGTGTGCGTTTTCCTCTTGCTCTTTAGAAAAGTACATCTGCTACGCTGAGCAGACCCGTGCGGTGTTGGCCAAGCTGGCTGATCATGGCAAGAAGATGTTTCTTATTACCAACAGCCCCAGTAGCTTTGTGTAAGTTCTTCTGTGTTTCCTGCCTAGTTTCTGGCTCACTTCCAATGTTCTATGTATTTAAATAGTTGAAAATTTGAAAGAAAAAATTGCAAGGTTAATCCTTTTAATGTTAGGCTAACCTGGCTGCCATGTCGTTCTAGGGACAAAGGGATGAGGTATATTGTTGGAAAAGACTGGAGAGACCTGTTTGATGTGGTCATCGTTCAGGCTGAGAAGCCAAACTTCTTTAATGATAAGCGGAGGTAGGTGTCTGTCTTTTTAGGGACCAGATTTTATTCATCTGATGCTCTGAATACTTAATTGTGCCTTGGTGATATTGTGATAATGTGTCTTGGTGAAATACAGTTGGAAAATCACAAGCATCTGACATCATAGCTTTTGATAGTTAATAAACCTCCTATCAAGTAATTGGAAGAAAGGTAAGATGAGTATGTACATAGCAGATAGCTTATTATTGAAACAATTCTTGATTTAACTCAGGCTATGTCAGTCCTATGAGTCAGTCTTTAAGAAAATGATGGACAGCAGTTAAAATCCAAACTTAACATCACATAGTAAATTAGATCTCTCTATGCGGACACATTGTGAAGTGTAGCAAAATGGCAACAACGAGCCACCTGGTGGTTAAATAGAGCTCTAAATGGTGCACTGACAAATGTCCTTAGATTTTGCAAAGCTTCTCTGCAACACAGGTTTTGCATCAAATGGAGTAAATCTCTACCCAGACGTAGATAAAGACTTTCTGCCATGGTAGCTTTGGGAAATAGAGGCATGGGAGTTTGGGTTATGCTCTTAACATTTCGTGGCAGGTGGGGTGAGGGTAGGGTCAAGTGTCCTAAAATGTCTTTTTAACATCCGGGGCTGACCTGTTCACCAAGCGTGTATTATTCGCTCAGTCGTGTCCGACTCTTTGTGACCCATGGACTGTAGCCCAGTCTGCCACGATCCTCTGTCCATGAAATTTTCCAGGCAAGAATACTCAAGTGGGTAGCCATCCCCTTCTCCTGGGGATCTTCCCAAGTCAGAAACGAACACAGGTCTCCCACATTGCGGGCAGATTCTTTACCGTCTGAGCCGCCAGGGAAGTCATTGTCCCCAAATGTCAATGGCGTTGAGAGGTACTGCACTGGGTTACAAAAATGATTCCTGTTTGTGGAATAATGGCCTACATTTGAAACACTTTTACCCACATTACTCTGTCCTGCAGTAGGTAATGTGCAGTCTTCCCCTCTGCCAGGTGATTTGTTTTTTAACAGCATCACTATATCCATTCTGGGATGTATCTTTTTTTTTTTTAAGTTCTTTTTGAGGACCATTTTCAGGGTCTGTTTTGAACTTGTTCCAGTATTGCTTCTGTTTTATGTTTTGGATTTTGGCTGCAAGGCATGTGTGAACTTAGTTTCCTGACCAGGGCTGGAATCTGTACTCTCTGCATCAGAAGGCAGAGGGTAATGTCAACCTCTGGACTGCCAGGGAAGTTCCTATGTTAGGTGATTTAAAGCATGACAATTTGGTGTCCTGTAGTCAGTGTTGAGTGGATTAAATTCCTCTTGTGATGCTAAATTCCAGTTTCCTGAGTGTCACAGTGACTCCTGGAAGAAAAGGCAAAAATCAGGAACCATGTGCAGAGACTGAGAATTTAAGAGAATGCTCCATCTGTGGGGTTGGGAGTTAGGTGTAGACGTGCCTGTAGCTGTCATCACTGACTGGCTGCTTCGTCACTGATAACGTGCTCCCTGGATCTCAGGGAGGTGGTCAGGGGAAGGACCTCATCTCCCCTTTCACCATGGACCTCCCTGCTCTGTCATATTTATACACAGTGGCAGGACGGTGTCTTAGATTATTAGATTTTCCCTGGAGGAACCCAGCACAGCTCACTTGCTCTCACTCTAGATGTCTGGATTAAAAATCTTCTACCTGTATTCATCCCTCTGTTATTTATAATTTTGAAGGTTAAGGAACATCCATATGAGAGGATATTATGAACTCATTAAAAATGAGGTATTTTTTTTAAAAAGCAGTGAACATATCTCCAGACTGTAAAAAATGATGTATGAATCACTTGGGAAATTGCTCACAGCCTTGGAGAGGAGAAGATACATAGCAGTATCCAGAAATGATCCTCATTTTATGTTCACAAAAAAGAGCAGATACATAAAGACCAAAAGATGTGGACTGAACCGATGTGTTTCTACCTCCGTGCTGAAATTATGGATGATTTTCTTTTTCTTTATTGTATTTGCCTATATTTTCCAGATGTTTTTTGAAGTGAGTTTATATTTTTCTCACCAGAAAAGCAGTTCAAATAAGTGTTACCTAAATAAAGAAAAAGGGCAAATGAACCTTGTGTTTTTTTTGGACTAGCACACCTAGGGTGAGGAATGAGGGCTTTGTTCTGTTTTTCCGATTTTCCATCATAATATGCCTGATTCTCTGATGTGCCTTATATCTAGACTGGCTTCATTTCAAATACAAAGCTGGATGAATGTAATAAGCAGTATTTCTATAAGCTTTATTTTTTGTAAAACATTTTCTGCACGGTTGAGTAAGTTTAGAAAATTCGGGTTAAAGAAAGTTTCTTTGTAGGAGGGCTTTTCAGACCCATCAGTAACTTTTAAAGAGTCTAGCTCACAGTGTTTTCCAAATTCATCTGACTCTGGCGTTCGGTTTTCACTACCCCTCTCTGGATCCCGTGGTCTGCAGCATGGGATGTTTCGCACAAGGCTGGGGAATGAGGCTGGGCAACGTGGTGGTGGGGTTTGGTTTGGGTTGTGGGGCTCGTTTCTCTCTCCAGGGGGGTAACCGTGGAGTTTTTAATCCAGCACACAGCCTGCACTGCTACCACACATGGTAACGTTTCCTGTTTCTGTTATTAGACCTTTCCGAAAGGTGAATGAGAAAGGTGTCTTACTCTGGGATAAAATCTACAAGCTGCAGAAAGGCCAGATTTACAAGCAGGTATCTTGTGACCCATCTGTCCTTTTAGTTGATGTGATTTGTGATCAGTTATAATGATGTCACAGCTGGCATTCACTGAGGCTCACTGCTTGCCAGGCACAGTCCTGGGACTCTTTGCTTGAACTGACTATTTATAACTTGGTGGCAGAATTTAAGCGTAAGTCAATATATTTTCAATGTGCTCTGTGTGAATTAACTCAGAATTGAGCAGCTTTTAAAAAAATATTTTTTTAAGCATTTTTTCTGTAGGATGTAAAATTTAGAATGCTAGTAGTAAAATAGAAGTTTCTCTTTAAGAAGTGTGGCATCAATTACATAGCATCTTATCCCAATTAGTAATTATTTCCTGATGAACTGTGTTTTAGGTACAGTTTTTATATATTTTGGTTTCATATAAAGCTCTCCTATGTTGAGTAAATGATTGAACCGCTGTCCATTTTTGTGTTACTGAAATTAGTTTTTTTAATTTTATCCTTTAAACATTTTATATTTGTATAATATTTATAACAAAATCACAGAACAGCACTATATAGTTTTTTTAATACTGTGTGATACATTCCTCATATACTGTACTGTCCAACTGGTACATACATGTTGTATATGTAACAGACTGCTGGTTTTGGCACTCAGTATGTTTTCTAGGCCTGAAAGATTAGCTTGGATACAGCCATTCCCCATCTAGGAAGCTAGCGGAAGAAAATGATTAAGATGTAGCTAGCTGAAGAAAACTATTAAGAGGTAGCTAAAGCTTTGCTAAAGAATGTTTATCATGATGTTACTTACAAAATAGGTAGCAAGGTAAATGTCTAGTATCAGATAATTGATTAAATGAATCATGGGTAGGTCTTAGCTGCTGAAATTACATGGCCGGTGAATACTTACTGACATGGTCAATAAATGACAGAATATTAAATGTAAAACACAGGCCTTTTACCTGTCATATAATGCAATATAACACCCATATTTTTCTGTTATTGCAGGGCAATTTGTATGAATTTTTGAAGCTTACTGGATGGAGGGGCTCCAAAGTGTTGTATTTTGGTGACCATATATATAGTGACCTGGCGGTGAGAAATCTTATTTCCTATTTCTTTGTTGGGTACAGTGTTAGGCCCACTTATTGAGGAGTTTATCTATTATTTAAGACTATTTTCATACTTTCATAAAAATGAGGACTGGTCCACATTTCTTGCTGCTTTTTTTTTAATGTCTCATATTTTACCAAACCAAATGGATCAGAGTCATGAAATAGAGGAATTTTGGGGAAATGATGGAAATTAACAATTTACTCAGGTTATCAGAAAAAAATCTTTACTCAGAAAAAAATCTTTCAGTTTAAAAAGCTAGTAAATAAATGACAGTGTTTTTTCCTTTTCCTTTCTTTATTAAGCATCAGAAACATTCAAATGCTCTGTAAGAGCTTGTAAACATCAGTCTGGGTTTCTTTTGCCTGATAGTCATTTTGAAAGAGTACGAAATGTAAAAAGCACAATAACTATTTCTAGGAAATGGCTATTATGTGAAAATGAGGCTTTCATGCTCTTTGGAATGACTGGAGTGTCTCAGGACTTGAATTATGACTTAATTTATAATTGGCACAGGAATGAGTGAGTCACACTTATTACCACCCTTGGTTCCTTGTTTAATGAATTTATGTATATGTATTTATATATAAATACAGTTCATTTATACGAAGAGTGAAATACGTGAATGTATACAAACGTGCTTAGTAAAGTAGAAACCTAAAGTGCTCCTGTCAGGATGCTGGCACTCCCAGGATGTCCGGCCAAGCGACATGGCATCATAAGACATACCTCTTGCTGTGTGGTCTGTGGGCCTTGAGATGACTGCGCTACCCTGGAGGCATGTGGGTACATGACCCCACGAGGTCCTCCCACACAGACAGGTCTTATGCTGTGAGAAGCTTCACATGGCAGTTGTTTGTCCAGCGTGGTCCCTGTGACATTGGCATCACCCGGGAACTTGTTCAAACGGCAAATTCTTGGCCTCACCCCAGACCTACTGAGTTACAAAGAAACTCTGAGGTTGGGACCCAGCCATCAGTGTTGTTCTCAGCTTTCCACGCTAAAATTTGATGTCATGATGTTGCTGGCCTCATGGAGTGAGTTAGGAAGTGTTTCGTCTTCCTCAGTTTTTGGAAGAGTTTGAGAAGGATTGGTGTTCATTCTTTTATGTTTAATTGTGAAGCCATTCGGTTCTGGACTTTTCACTGTTGGAAGGTTTTCGATTCCTGATTCAGCCTTCTTCCTAGTCAGAGGTCTGTTCAGATTTACCAGTTCTTCATGATTCAGTCTTGGTAGGTTGTGTGTTTCTAGGCATTTGTCCATTTCATCTGGATTATACAAGTTGTTGGCATACAGTAGTTTACAGTACTCTTTTATAATCTTTTTTTAAAATCTGTAGAATTGGTGGTAATGTCACCACTTACATTTCTGATTTTAGTAATTTGAGTCTTCTTGTTTTCTTATCAAACTTAATGGTTTGTCAATTTTGTTGATTCTTTTTTGAAGAACCAATTCTTAGTTTTATTGATTTTTCTTTGTTGTTTTTATATTCTCTATTTTATTTATTTCTGCTCTGATCTTTACCGTTTCTTTTTGTGCTGCTAGATTTCAGTTTAGTTTGTTATTTTTCTAGTTCTTTTAGGTATAAAGTTAAATCATTGTTTTGAGATCTTTCTTTTTCTATCTAGATGGCTAGAGGTGTTAATTTTCATTTTAGTCTTGCTTTTTTTGTATCCCATAAACTTCGGTATGTTCTGTTTGCATTTTAATTTGTCCCAAGCTATTTTTCTAATTTTCCATGTGATTTCTTCTTTGACCCATTGGTTGTTGAAGAGTGTGTCTTTTAATTTCCACATATTTCTGAATTTTTCAGTTTTTCCTTTTGCTGTTGATGTCTAGTTTCATTCTTAATGATAAGAAAAGATACTTGTATGATTTCAGTCTTCTAAAATTAATCAAGACTAGTTTTGTGGCCTAAAATACAGCTGTTGCTAGAGAATGCTCCATGTGCATTTGAGAAAAATATTCTGCTTTTGTTGGGTGGAGTGTTCTAATTGATCTGTGGTGGTGTTCACGTCTTGTATTTCTTGTTTGATCTTCTGTCTCCTTATTTTGTCCATTATAGAAAGTGGGCTATTGAAGTTTCCTATTATTATTGTAAAGCTGTCCCTTGTTCCCTTCAGTTCTGTCAATGTTTGCTTCATGTATTTTGGACCGCTGATGTTTGGTTCATATGTGCTTTTAATTGTTATATATTTTTGGTGAATTGACCCTTTTATCATGATGTAATGTCATTCTTTGTGTCTTGTAACTATTTTTGACCCAAAGTCTATTTTGCCTGATACTAGGATAGCTGCTTTTGTTTTGGTTACTACTTGCCTGGAATGTCTTTTTCAATCTTTTCACTTTCAACTCTGTGTGTTCTTAGATCTAAAATAAATGTCTTGTAGACAGCATATATTTGGATCCATCCTAGAGTTAGAAAACCACTGTTTTAAAGTGATTAGACCAGAATTGATTAATGTGTCAGAGATTGTGTAGGCAATGAATAGTACCCTTCAAAGGAATCCCTTGAGAATGTAGATGCTTCCAATGTTGCTGCTGTTTCTCAAAATAAATTTAGATGCTCCCTTTGGGATATATTTGAGAGCTGACTTGAGGCACTAGAGAAAATTAATCCCATTATCATTAATTCATTGTCATGTACTTTAGCCTTAGGAGTGTTCCAGTTGACTTTTTACCGCTTGTCAGATATACGATCCATCTTCAAAAGTTTGCCACTACTGGGAATATTTAGAAGACTATGCTGTATGTAGGGTTTCATATATTTTAGGAGAAAGAGAATTATTGAAAGATTTAAAGAAATTCAACCATGGAAGAAGGTAGGCATCCTTAGGACTTGTAGAGCAGGGATTCCAACTTTAGGGGAGTAACCAGAGTGAATATTTAAAATAGTAGACTCTATACCACTTCTGTCTTTAAAAGCGCTCTCCTTAGACGTACCCCTGTCTCCCTTAGAGTAAAAGCCTAGCTTCCTGCGACTGCTGCGCTCCAGCTGGTCCCCAGCCTCTCCTCTCCCTCTGAAGGCACCCCCTGCCTCTGCCCTGGCTCCTTCTCTGCCTTTGCCTTTGCTCAGCACACCCTGCTCCCAGTGTGGTCCTGCCCCGGGGCCTTTGCACTCGCTCTTTTTCCAGCCAGAACTGCTCTCCTCCCACACATTTATGTACTTTTACTGTCCTTCCCTTCAGATCTCTGCTTGAATGTCCCTTTGTTAGCCTGGCTTTCTTACTCACTCTCTATAAAACGGTAACTCCTTATTTTGCTTGATTTTTGTCCATTGTGTTTCTTACCACCTGCCATTGTGTGTTTGCTGGCTTACTTTTTTGGTCCGTATTTCCCATGAGAGCAGAGGTTTGTTATTTTTGTTCACTATTTTATTCTCAGTATTTAGCTCAGGGCCTGGCAAACAGTAGTATTTAATAAATGTTTGTCAAGTGAGAAAATGAACAGCCATTCAGTATGGTGATTGTATATCTTAGATTTGCTAGGACATAACTTATATCAGATATTCTGGCTTATTGTCGTATCATAAGAGTCCAATATTTGGAATGAAGATACAATCATGTATGTTGGTACTGAGTGATCATTCCAAGTCTGAAATTTCCCATAACCCAGGAGGCTTGGCATGCCATGGGTGTTCCCCAGCGTTCTGTGGGTGGATTGAATAAAAACCTTCAGTAACATTTCAATTGACCCTCCTTCTGCCCCTGACCTAATTGTTCTTTTAGAGACTGTGGTTAAGGATTACAGATCCTGTGTTTCTGTGGGGGCTGTGACTCAAGCAATTATTTCCAGAACAGAAACTTTCTTGGGGGCGCGGTGGGGGGGGATGGCCAAAGCCTGGGGCTAAATTAATTAAGTGTAATTCATTGAGTTTGGCTTGGTTAATGACCAGCCACTACAATTAAAGTTAATTCAATGAATGCCTGTTGTGTCTGTGAAAGGTAATGAAATGGTTTAAATTCTGTTGTGATGAATGTTGACTTTTTGTGATCTTTGCAATCAGGACTTGACCCTGAAGCATGGCTGGCGAACGGGTGCAATTATCCCAGAATTAAGATCCGAGCTCAAAATCATGAACACGGAGCAGTACATTCAAACTATGACCTGGCTACAGACCCTGACAGGATTATTGGAGCAGATGCAGGTTTGGAATTCTTTTTCTCTCCTACTTTTTCTTTTTTTTTTTAAATGAAGAATTATGTATTTATTTTTGACTCTGCTAGGTCTTCATTGCTCCGTGCGGAATTTCTCTAGTTGTGGCAAGTGGGGGCTGCTCTCTAGGTGTGGTGCACAGGCTTCTAGTTGCGGTGGCTCTTCTTGTCGTGGAGCGCAGGCTCTAGAACGCATAGGCTCAGTTATGGCATACTGGCGTAGTTCCTGCTCAACACCTGGGATTTTCCTGGACCAGGGATTGAACCTGTGTCCTCTGCGTTGGCAGGTGGGTTCTTAACCACTGGGCCACCAGGGAAATCCTCCCCTACTTTTTCTTTAAGCCTGAGGTTAATCCACTGATCAGAGTTATTTCAGATATGTTTCTGTTCAGTTGTGGTCCTAAAGTATAAGGCAGAAGTCATCCTACAGAATAGCCACTGGGGTGGTTTTCCCCGGAAGAATCTTGCCATTTTCCCTAAAAGAGAATTTTAGAAATGACTGCCAAAGCCATTTGGAGAAAGAGTTTTGTGGGCCCATATGGGGCATTTCAGAGTCCTTACTTCTCCACCCAAGCCCCACTGGGAGATACTCTGTGGGTAGTGGGATTCGAGAACCTCTGCCTATTGTTTGGGTCCAGTCCTGCTGCTGCCTTTAGCGTGCTGTGGGACTTCTCCTTTCTGGACCTCAGTTTCCCCATCTGTGAAAGGGAGTGAACACTTCAGGCCCGACACCGTGGCTTGCTGGGAAGAGTCTCAGAGCAAGAACCGGGATCTCTGCGTGCAGCTTCCATCTGATTTTGAATCAGTTTGCTGGCTCACTGGAGTTCAGTGGTGGGGGTTTTTCTTTCTGTGGGTTATATAGCCAGTTTTAGGCAGATAGTGAGGAAAGTCATTTTGGTAATTTCCTGGCCCATGGAATATGCCCTCTGTAGCAGCTGCAACCCCCCACCCCCCAAGTCTCATGAGACACCTTGCTTTCTCACCTGGTTCAGCTGGCCTGGCCCTCAGCATCTCAGCGTGAGTGCTGACTCTTAGGATAAGGGGCTTGGATGCCTGCTCTCTTGGCTAACACACCTGCAGCCTCTGGCCATGGCCTGGTGCTAACAGCCTGCCAGCCTGCTTTGGGAACGGGCAGGGAACCGCCTTGCCTGGCCTGGCTGGCAGCGAGCTCAGGCAGGGATGCAGGGAGCGCCAGGCCCTCGCTCCAGGGTGCACACCTTCCAGGGCATGGCGCCCCGCACGTCCCCCGGGCCTTGCTTCCAGCCCGTCTTGGCTGTGTTGCTCTTTGGCTCGCCTCTGACGAGGACTGGTTCTGTCTCCCTTCCTGTGCTTGCCTGTGAGGTGATTGTCTAAAAATAAAAGGCCTGGATTCTGGGTTAATGCAGCTTCAAGTCTGTGCATAGGTCACACATAATAATAGTTACTTTCTGGATGCCAGGCATTGTGCTGAGCGCTCGCTCTGCAACATTACTCCTCACTCATCCCGGCTGTCCTGAGTACAATTTTCCACTTTAGAATGAGGAAGCTGGGCGTCTGAGAGGTTAGGTAACGTGTCCAAGGTCATAACACAGCGGAGCAAGGGCCTGGACCTGGGCTGGGTGCTGCCCGAGTCCCTGCTTTCGGCTCTGCACTGAAGCGCTGTTTTAATGTGCGGGTTAGAGCTTCCGTGTATAGCCAGAGCCCTCGCCTGCGGTGCGGTCTCTCTGTGATGCGGGCAGCTGGTCAGAGACACAGATGCAGCCTGCAGGGAGATGATTTAGCTTTGGTTTCCTTTTCCAGCTTCCTGTCTGGGCGGATTCTCTAGGGCATAGAGGAAGGTGATTGACGATTAAAAAATTACCCAAATGAGCGGCACTTCTCACTGTGCTTCCTGTTCCCTTTCTCCTCTCCCCCCATCCCTGTGTTCACCTGGAAAACTGTACATTATTCTAGTGGCCCTGTGTCAGATGTTTCTATAGCTCCTCTTTTTCTGATGATGTGCACATAGCACATTATCTGGACACTATTTTCTGAGAAGAGAAATTGGTCCTTGAAGTTGGGTGTGATTTTTTTTTTTTCCTTTTTCCTTTTGGAAGCCAAAAGTGTTACCTGGAGCCGGGTCTGATGAATTAACTGCAAGTGTTTAATTTTTGGATATAAGGAAGTAGCTATAAAGAAGAATTTTTGTTCATTAGCCTTAAAGTGCCCTCCTGAGTGGTACGGTTCATGGTGGTCATGCTGGTGGATGGCGTGGTGGTATCAAGTCTTTCAGGTAACCATGTTAGAGCCACGTTTAGCCCAGGTTGGACAGACTTCTACAACAAGCCAGCTAGCCATTGTGTGAGGTTGTGCAGGTTGTACGGTCTCAACTCCATGCTGGTAGCATGAAAGCAGCTTTGGACAATATGTAAGCAACCAGTTGTAGCTGTATCCCTGACATTTTATTGGTGGGCACTGAAATTTTAATTTCATATCATTTTTACGCATCATGAAGTTATTTTTCTTTTGAATTTTTTTCAACAGCTTCAAAGGGAAAATCCATTCTTGAGCTCATCGGGATGATAGAAAGGTGGGCAGTGGGCTGGATTTGGTCTCCGCTGGTACAGGTTATCAGACTTATGGCTAGATGGCAATAATTCTGCCCATGCAGGAGTGGGCTAGCCCGTACAGTATATTTTTATAGATTGTAGCCATAAATGGCTGAATGGGCTAATCAACAAGAGGGGCTGAAGGTGGCTGAGGGTCTGTAGGATCAGCTTCTGGTGTGGGCTTCTGGTTAGTCTTTTCCCACACCAGCTACCCACCCTTGAGTGCATGCTATCACTTAAAGGTTAATTATAGCTAAGTAATACCCAGTCTTTGAAGTATTTTAAAGTAGGTGTCAGACTCCTTAGATTGCTCGTCTTACAAAGTTTAGCCTTGTAGGAGGGTCCGAGCTGGAGAAAGGGGTGGCTCAAGGAGAATCTGCTTTTTCTTCTAATGGGAGGGTCTTCAGCATGTTTAAATGCTGATGGGTAGACTCCAGGGGAGGGGGTTGATCACGTGGGAGAGATGATAAACGATGAGGAAAGGGCAGTTGGGAGGGAGCCCTGGGTGGGCGTGGGTGGGCCTCGGATGGGAGGGTGTGAGGGGAGGCTGGGTTACGGTGCACACACACAGAGCTCAGGTGCCCCCTGCTGGGGGCGGCTCCCTGGCTCAGCTCTCTGGGGCTTTCCTCCTCCGCTTGTCCCTTCAGCAGTCTTGGGCTTTGCTGGAGATGATCCCTCATCCCTGGCTCTGCCCCGTTCTGGAAAAACTGGGCTGCAGAAGGTGCCATGGACTTGGAGACCCGAACTGGCTCTTCATGTCCGTATAGCCTGCCCTTGGGTAGGGGCCCCTGCTGAGGGGAGAGTGGAGAGGCACAGTCATGTGGCCTATGGCCACTGGTTCCGAAAGGAGAAAGCACACAGATGCACTTTGGTTATCATGCTTCTGGTCGCTAGTCAGAGAATTCTCCTCTCCTGCAAGCGCAGGGAGAAGCTGCTTCTTCACACTAGACACAGGGCCCTGTTCGTGGGCCGAGAAGTGGGCAGAGGTGGGAGGAGGATGTCCCATTCTGTGCAGGGTCACGCTGTTTGGTCCTGCTCTGCTTGCCTGGGTGTGCCCCCTGCCAGGGTCTCCATCTCATTCTCTCTTATATCTTCAATATCTAGCACAGCGCTTGCCACATAGAGGTGCTGGATACGTACCTGTGTGTGTGTATATGTATGCATGTATGTATACATGTATATCTATGTGTATGCATGTGTATCTGTATAGGTATGTTTGTGTGCATACGTGTGTGTGTATTTATGTTATTTATGTTTATATACATATATATATAAACAAATTCTTTGTGGCACCCTACAGAGTTTTGATCTAGGCTTACATTTTGTAGTACCTGAATTCTTTGGTGAGTGATTTGTTGACTTAAAATATGAGAGCTCATTGAAACCAAACTCATAGGACCTGCCTCGACACCCCCAGAAGGGACCCGTCTTCTGGTGCTCCAGTAACACACATCCAGTGGTCACTCGGAGGTGGCTGCTTCCTGCTGGTGTAGACAACAGTGGCAGGCAGGAAATCGAGATTACAGGCTCAGGGTGTGGTTTTGAGTGGCAGCAGCTCGTAGCGGGTGACTTGGTCAAGCTCTTGATCTGGGCATACGTGATAAACAGAAGGGCCTTGGCTCCCATGTCAAAAGCAGATGGTTTGCTCGTTTGGCATTTTCCTCCGGGTCCTGAGGCTGCCCCTGTGACTGTGCACTGTGGGAACCCTGCCTGGCTCCTGTGGTCACGTGCACCTCTGGCTCTGGTTCGTGTGTTTGGTTTGACCCTAGGAGGCTTGGGGAGAGACTTGTGAGAGTCCATGTGTTAGGGTGCACACAGCTATCATTTTCCTTTTGCCTTTTGCTCACATTTCGGTCCACCTGGAGAATTCTCCACTTTCCATCTGGGTTGAGGTGTTCTGCCTTCTTGCCTTTTACAAAAACAATTTTCTTCTCTTAAACACTTTAAAAGGTATTAATAAAATATATTGAGGAAAAGGATTAAGCCAATTATAATTCTGTTACCCTTGAACAAATTAAAGAAAAAGTTTCATGTTAATTTCCAAATGCACATGTTTTTACATGCTTGAAATTTGTGGATGCACTGTTATATCTGCTATTTCCACTCACTGCCATTTTCATGTGTGTGTGTGTGTGTGTGTGTGTGTATAATACATTTATTTATGATATATATAAATAGGTCTATTAGGTAGTGTGTATTAGGTATATGTTTATATGTATAACACACATGTGTAATGGATACATTGCACACATATAATACACACATACATTTTATGTGGACATATATGTATTCTTCTCATATAAATCCTTTAATAATGCTTTAATATCTCTAGTTTAACAGGGACCTTGCATCCCTGTATTCTGTCGTAGTATTATTGTCTACATTTGGTGAAGAAGGGCAGCAGCTGGGAAGTCTGAAAATGTATTATTTCATGCAAGTGCCTATCTCTTAGATCTGAATAAAATTCCTCCCAGAAGAGCTACCCGTTAGAAAATTCTTACAACCTAATGAGTTTATTCGTATCCAAAACCCTGTCAGTAATTGGCTTGTGTTCTGCAGGTTCACAGAGATGTGGAGTCACAGCTGGTTTTGCAGGAGTGGAAGAAGGAGAGGAAGGAGATGAGGTAAGAGTGGCCTGTTGTGAACGGAGTGAATCCTTCACTGTGGCCCTGCGCACTCAGCCCACACGCTTTCCCCAAGGTCGGCCAGAGGTGGGACTCGAAACAGCCTTACTTAGCTGCGGGGGGTGATTGTGACCCCCAGGATCCAGAACAAGCCAGCTGCTGTTAGTGATGAGTGACATTTTCTCGAGGCAGCAGCGAGCTCCCTCCCACTTTCCGCCCACCCCTGAGTTTGTTGTCTGTCTGTCCCTCCCTACATCCATCCCTCCTTCTGTCCCACTCAACTTCCCCGTTTGGGCAGCCAGCAGCCCAGCGTGGCCAGTGGGACAGTGTTGGAGGGGGCTCTGCCCCGCAGTGAATCCTTGGGCTCCTACGACGCTGGCGCTTATTTGTGACACTGCTGTGTTCGGCATGCAGTCACTTAGCTCATGATGCTGACTGATGAAGAAAGCCCATCTGCTGCCAGCTGGGTGTGTGTCTTAAGGGAATGGTTATTCTTGAGTTGTTTTTTCTTTTTATTAAACTATAGCTGATTTACAATGTTGTGTTAGTTTTCAAGTATACAGCTTCAGATTCTTCTCCATTATAGGAAAGATTGAATATGTTGAATAACGATATCAAATATAGTTCCATGTTCTATATAGTAAGTAAATCCTTTTTGTGTATGTGTTTTATATAGTGTCTGTTCATTATATGGTGTCTGTTTATATAGTGTGTCTGTTTATCTCACACTCCTGATTTATCCCTTCCCCTCTTCTTTTTGCTTTGGTACCCATAAATTTGTTTTCTTTGTCTGTGAATCTGTTTCTGTTTTGTAAATAAGTTCACTTGTGTTATTTTTTTAGATTCCACATATAAGTGATAGGTGGTATTTGTCTTTCTCTGACTTGACTTCACTTAGTGTGATAATGTCTAGGTCTGCCCATGTTGCTGCAAATGACATTATTTCATTTTTTTGTCTTATGGCTGAGTAATAATCTAGTATGTGTGTATGTATCTGTATGAAAAGTGAAAATGAAGGTGTTAGTTGCTCAGTCATGTCCGACTCTTTGTGACCTCTTGGACTGTAGCCCGCCAGGCTCCTCTGTCCTTGGAATTCTCCAGGCAAGAATACTGGAGTGGGTAGGCATTCCTTTCTCCAGGGGATCTTCCTGACCCAGGGATTGAATCTGGGTCTTCTGCATTGCAGGGAGATTCTTCACCATCTGAGCCATGGCTTGGCTCAGAGCATCTGGTGCTTAATTCAGGCTAGATGGTAAAGATTTTAAAGGAGCAGTTATTCTCAAGAGGCCTTGTGGACAGTTGTGCTTCCCTGTAGAAGCGGGTGCTGTGTATGTGGACAGGGCTGATGTGGCCATTTCCGCTCTCGTGGTCCCCCTCACCGCTCCTCAGGCGGCACAGCTGTCTCTAAGGTTTGGCGGTAGCGCTCACTGCCTGGTTCTGACCTCTGAGCAGTGGGCAGTCTGGTGGGACTGGTGTGCCTGGAAAGCGGGGAGAGTCCATTCCTCTGGGCTGCAGAAGCCACGGCTGTACTGAATTGATCCTCCTACCTTTCAACGTGTTGGTTATTGGGAATGTATTGGTTATTATAATGTGATTATTGGTCTGAAATGTTGGGTGAGAGGGTGATGGGCATATGATGCATATATGCTTATAATGCAGGCTTCAAGGAGGTGCTTGAAGCTCTGTATTAGATGGCAGAGGTGTGCTTACATCGCTGTAATATAATCCTTAATGTCTTAGACATGAAGTACTTTCGAGTTTATGATACACTCTTATTTCTCTTACCTTATGTAGTTCTCACTATAACCTCACAAGAAAGGGGCCTTGATCCTGTTCTATAGATGAGGGAAGTTTGAAGACTGTGGGAATATACTCCATTTCTGTGGACTTTCAGAAGTGGCTCTGGCACCTTCCATTTTTGTTTGGGAAATGGGGTGTGCATGTTTAGGGGCTCACAGCTTGCCTCTGGAGCCTTCAGCTGTGTTCTCTCTACTGGCCTAAGTGGGGAATGTGGTCAGAACCATTTTGATGGCTGAACAGACTGTTTTCCCAATTAGAAGTCAGGGCTGCTCTAGGCAAATTTGAGTTCTATGCATATGAAGTAGGAAGTCAAGAAACACCTGGAGCAACAGGCAAATTTGGCCTTGGAGTACGGAATGGAGCAGGGCAAAGGCTAATAGAGTTTTGCCAAGAGAATGCAGTGGTCACAGCAAACACCCTCTTCCAACAACACAAGAGAAGACTCTACACATGGGCATCACCAGATGGTCAACACTGAAATCAGATTGATTATATTCTTTGCAGCCAAAGATGGAGAAGCTCTATACAGTCAGCAAAAACAAGACCAGGAGCTGACTGTGGCTCAGATCATGAACTCCTTATTGCCAAATGCAGACTTAAATTGAAGAAAGTAGGGAAAATCACTAGACCATTCCGGTATGACGTAAATCAAATCCCTTACAATTATACAGTGGAAGTGAGAAATAGATTTAAGGGACTAGATCTGATAGAGTGCCTGATGAACTATGGATGGAGGTTCATGACATTGTACAGGAGACAGGGATCAAGACCATCCCCAAGAAAAAGAAATGCAAAAAGGCAAAATGGCTGTCTGAGGAGGCCTTAAAATAGCTGTGAAAAGAAGAGAAGTTAAAAGCAAAGGAGAATAGGAAAGACATACCCAATTGAGCAGAGTTTCAAAGAATAGCAAGGAGAGATAAGAAAGCCTTCCTCAGCGATCAGTGCTAAGAAGTAGAGGAAAACAATAGAATGGGAAAGACTAGAGATCTCTTCAAGAAAATTAGAGATACCAAGGGAACATTTCATGCAAAGATGGGCTCAATAAAGGACAGAAATGGTATGGACCTAATAGAAGCAGAAGATATTAAGAAGAGGGGGCAAGAATACACAGAAGAACTATACAAAAAAGATCTTCACGACCCGGATAATCACGATAGTATGATCACTCACCCAGAGACAGACATCCTAGAATGTGAAGTCAAGTGGGCCTTAGGAAGCATCACTACAAACAAAGCTAGTGGAGGTGATGGAATTCCAGTTGAGCCATTTCAAATCCTGAAAGATGATGCTGTGAAAGTGCTGCACTCAATATGCCAGCAAATTTGGAAAACTCAGCAGTGTTCACAGGACTGGAAAAGGTCAGTTTTCATTCCAGTCCCAAAGAAAGGCAATGCAAAAGAATGCTCAAACTACCACACAATTGCACTTATCTCACACATTAGTAAAGTAATGCTCAAAATTCTCCAAGCCAGGCTTCAGCAATACATGAACTGTGAACTTCCAGATGTTCAAGCTTGTTTTAGAAAAGGCAGAAGAACCAGAGATCAAATTGCCAACATCTGTTGGGTCATCAAAAAAGCACATGAGTTTCAGAAAAACATGTATTTCTGCTTTATTGGCTATGCCAAAACCTTTGACTATGTGGATCACCACAAACTGTGGAAGATTCTTCAAGAGATGGGAATACCAGACCACCTGACCTGCCTCTTGAGGAATCTGTATGCAGGTCAGGAAGCAATAGTTAGAACTGGACATGGAACAACAGATTCCAAAAAGGAAAAGGAGTACATCAAGGCTGTATATTGTCACCCTGCTTATTTAACTCATATGCAGAGTACATCATGAGAAACGCTGAGCTGGATGAAGCACAAGCTGGAATCAAGATTGCTGGGAGAAATATCAATAACCTCAGATATGCAGATGATACCACCCTTATGGCAGAAAGCGAAGAACTAAAGAGCCTCTTGATAAAAGTGAAAGAGGAAAGTGAAAAAGTTGGCTTAAAGCTCAACATTCAGAAAACTAAGATCATGGCATCCGGTCCTATCACTTCATGGAAAATAGATGGGGAAACAGTGGAAACAGTGGCAGACTTTATTTTGGGGGGCTCTCAAATCACTGTAGCCATGAAATTAAAACATGCTTACTCCTTGGAAGAAAAGTTATGACCAACCTAGACAACATATTAAAAAGCAGAGACATAAAAAAAAAAAGCAGAGACATTACTTCGCCAACAAAGGTCTATCTAGTCAAAGCTATGGTTTTTCCAGTAGTCGTGTATAGATGTGAGAGTTGGACTATAAAGAAAGCTGAGCACCGAAGATTGATGCTTTTGAACTGTGGTTTTGGAGAAGACTCTTGAGAGTCCCTTGGACTGCAAGGAAATTCAACCAGTCCATCCTAAAGGAAATCAGTCCTGAGTGTTCATTGGAAGGACTGATATTGAAGCTGAAACTCCAATACTTTGGCCACCTGATGTGAAGAACTGACTCGTTTGAAAAGACCCTGATGCTGGGAAAGACTGAAGGTGGGAGGAGAAGGGGATGACTGAGGATGAGATGGTTGGATGGCATCACCGACTCAATAGATGTGAGTTTGAGTAGACGCCGGGAGTTGGTGATGGACAGGGAGGCCTGGCGTGCTGCAGTCCATGGGGTCGCAAGAATCGGACATGACTAAGCGACTGAACTGAAGTGTATGAAACAGTGATTAAAAAATTTTTTTTATTGAGGTATAGTTGATGTACAATATTATATTAGTTTAAGGTATACACCATAGTGATTCAAAATTTTTATGGATTTTGTAGTTTTTTTAACTTTTAATTTAATATTGGAGCATAATTGATTAACAGTGTGTTAGTTTCAGATGTACAGCAAAGTGATTTAGTTATATAGATATGTATGTATAACTTCCTTTTTAATGTATCTTTAAAAAATATTTTTTTTTGGCTGCACTGGGTTTTTGTTGCTATGTGCGGGCTTCTCATTGCAGTGGCTTCTCTTGTTGCAGAGCATAGGTTCTAGGGTGCTCTGGCTTCAGGAGTTGCATTGTGTGGCCTCAGTAGTTGTGGCACATGGCTTAATTGCCCAGTGGCATGTGGAATCTTCTCAGACCAGGGATCACACCCATGTACCCTGCATCGGCAGGCGGATCCTTGACCACTGGACCACCGGGGAGGTCCTACATGCATCTCTTCTCTGTGAAACAGTGATTTTGGTGTCATCTGATGTCAGTAACTAAAAGCAGAGCTTGGGGGAGTCACACTGTTGCTTTGCTCTTCTCTCCCCTCTTCAGGGAAATGACCAAAGGTTTCTTCAATGCCCAGTTTGGGAGCTTGTTCCGCACAGACCAGAACCCCACGTACTTCCTGCGGCGCCTGTCGCGGTTTGCCGACATCTACATGGCGTCCCTGAGCTGCCTGCTGAACTACGACGTCAGCCACACCTTCTACCCCCGGCGGACCCCACTGCAGCACGAGCTGCCCGCCTGGTCCGACCGGCCCCCGGCCGCCCGGCTGCCGCTGCTGCAGGAGGCCCAGGCCAAGTAACTGGCGGCCCCACCACCTCTGGGCACCAAAAGCCAGGACCGGTGATGGCCCCACGCTGGGCAGACTCTGCGGGGATGTGAGCATCGCTTTTGGAAATGATACAGATAGTCTTAGTGACACCTGTTTTGTACATTACAGAGGATACCCCCTAGCTCGTGGAGAAGGGAGCTCACAGCTCGCAGAGCCCGCCCTCCTGTGCATGTGGGGAGGGGACAGCGGCTGGCCTCCTGTCGACACCCTGTGATCAGCCTTCTTGTTTCCCAAGGTACTGTATCCAGCATCAGACTTCCTGGGATGGGGAGTCTTCTTGATGCCTGCTCTGTATTCCAGCAGGTGACGTTTTGAAACTCTTCTTAACTCTTCTGTGGAAAGTGCTTGGAAAGTGCTGAACACGCACAGACAGTGCTGGACCAGTGAAGTGGGTTCACCAATGAGCTGCTGCTGCTTCAGTGGGTGCTTGGATAGCGACCACGGTGTCGGCGGCAGGGATGGACCCCGGTCGGCCGCTGGTTCCCAGGCATCTGGAACTAGGGCTCTGGCGCACTGGTGCCTCACTTGACAGCAGACTCAGCCTCCCTGGAGGTCTTATGTGAGAAAGAACAGGAGAAGCTGCCAATCCTTGGCCTTGATTGTCCTCAGTATCCATTTCCTGTGTCTTGCCCCACGCAGAGGAAGGACCATGGTGCCCCAAGTGGTGGGCAGGTTCACTCTTTTCCCTCCGAAAAGGAGGACAAGGAGAGAAAAGCTTCTGGTTTAATGTCCTGCCAGCAGAACAGACTGTAGAATGAGGCTGCTACATGCGAACGCACGGGAGGAAGCAGTGCGTTTGTGGTGGGTATCCCAGGGCTTTATAACCCCTGATGCCACCACCACACGTGTGTTGCTTGAACCTGCTGATCGGAGGATGGAAAGTGAAACAAAAAAAATGTCCTCATAATTTAGTGCTGTACGGTGACCCCCCCGACCCCTCCCAGGTGTTTTGCAATCTTGTTAAACTGTGTGTTACAGAAACCATCCTCGTTGGAGGGCAGTGAGCAGATGCCTTCTCTCCTGATTCATCAGCCGAGGAGAGGGGTGTGAATCCAGCCGGAGCGAGGGAGGTGGCCCTCTCTGCTCAGCCGTCTCCCGCCTGCTGCCTTTAGACTGCTTTCCTGCCATGCTTACGTGTCTGCTTTGGGGATTTCTTTAGTGTCTGCATTTAAGGTGGGAGAGGATCAAGGACATTGAGGCTGAGAGAAAGAGTTGGAACTAGCCTCACTGAGTGAGTCTTCCCATTTCTTTCCGAGGACAGGGCAAGTGACACCTATCCTTAACCTGACGGATGCAGGTGGCGGAGGAAAGGGGCTTGAGGAGAGGCTGCTCGCTCATTTGGCGTTTTTAACGGGTTCGTGTGGAGCCAGCTGTTGAGATGTGAGCTTGGCCTGCCACAGGCTGCCTGTACGCGTGCAGAAATTAGGTGATTTCTATAGCATGTTGTATAACGTTGCGTGTTTTAATGGGACTGTTGTTGTTTAGTCGACTCTTGGCGACCCCATGAACTGTAGCCCACCAGGCTCCTCTGTCCATGGGATTTCCCAACCAAGAATACTGGAGTGGGTTGTGATTTCCTTCTCCAGGGGATCTTCCTGACCTGGTAGTCGAACGCACATCTCCTGCATTGGCAGGTGGATTCTTTACAGAGCCACCAGGTGTACCTGTGATCTTGTCTTGTATTTAACTAAAATAGTGAAGGTGACTCTCTAGACCTAATAGGCCCAGTTGGCCTTTTTTCCCATTGTACAAACACAGGTGTCCATCCCTTTTTCAGGCTGCAGGAGGCACTTTGCTGGCTGTTTGTTACTGCCTGGGGGTTTTAAGCATCAGAGTGCATTGGAGACTGGCATTTCAGGGGTGCAGGTGGCGCCCACAACTGCTCAGTGTTGGGGTCCTCAGAGGATATGCTGGTGCTCTGGGCTGATAGTTTCTGCTTTGGAGAAGCTGGTGAGGAAGTAGGTATTTTAAAACTTTTTCTAATCAGGTATTCATTGGATATCTCCTCCATGCCAGTGATAGGGTGTTTTGTTTACTCAAGAAAGTTGTTACTCAAAAACATCTCAGTACAGCTGTTTTTACTGCTTTCATGTATGTCTGGGTTAGGAGTCCCAAGCCTGGGGCGAGAAATTCATTTTCTAGGTGTGTGAATAAGGAATTTTAATGACTTATCACCAATTAAGGTTGAGCAAGCTCCAGAAGATAGTGAAGAACAGGGAAGCCTGGCGTGCTGCAGTCCATGGGGTCGCAAAGAGTCAGACATGACTGCGCTTCTGAACAGCGGTGGCCGTGGCACACGGTGGTGTTGAGGTCTGTCGGGCTGGCGCACGGTCAGGGTCAGGGCGGCCGTCTCCATGTGAAGGACGGAGGGCTTCGCTTTGTCTGTGCTTGGTCGTTTTAACTTGTCACTGTCGTGACTCAGCTGGGATTCAGCACCCTCTACAGCTTTCTGTTCCTCCTGGCTTATCCTCTAGCAAGCCCGCTGATGAATGCATTTGGGTGCAAGGGAAGGGAGTCTATTTTCTACCACTTAAAAGATCAGTTTGGAAAGTGATCAGAATTAGCTCACTTGAAAATTAGCTTGCACATTGAAAAATATTTTCCCTTTTTAGCATCAGTTAGACTGATTTTCTCCAAAGGATATTAACAAAAATTCATAGTCCAGGGGCTGTCTGTGTCCCTAAGGCTCACCATAGCTATAGCCGGTTGCCCTGGAAGGGACCTGCACAACTGGTTTTTCCAGAATCATTTTTTTAAGTAGATGAAACCTGGCTTTTAATATATTTTAGGAGTTTGGCTTAAAGCTCCCACTTTCCTCCTAAGATAGCCTTAAAAAAATTTTTTTTTTCTTTTAAAAATTCCCTTCAGCTCCACTAATGCCAGCTAACACAAACCACCTGTTACTGATTAAGGCCCATCTATGACTAAATTCCTAGTTGCTTTGAATGCATTGGTCCTCTTAATTAGTGCCAAAGAGAAATACAAAGTCCTTTTTCCTGCTAGCTAATTTAGCTTTGGGTGAACTAAATAGCTTCCCCCACCCCTTTTCCTCCCCAGAGGCCTCTAAAGCAGCAGAGAGTGCGCTAAACGCTGGAATTGGATCCAAATTCCATCCAGATGCCAAATGCTCATCTGTTGCCAAAAACCCACTTGGGGGCCCTGGTCTGCAATGTGCTCTCAGACTCAGTCTGGCCAGAGGCAGGGAGGGTTCCTTGATTGCTCTATTCAACTACCAGGGAGCCTGTGATGTGCTGGCTTAGCACTGGTTTCCTTTTGTACCAGTTTCCTTTCTTTCCCTGTTAGCATCTGGGAGCGAGGCTCCAAGTCTAGTTTAAGTGAAAAGTGAAGTCGCTCAGTCGTGTCCGACTCTCTATGACCCCATGGACTGTAGCCCACCAGGCTCCTCTGTCCATGGAATTTTCCAGGCAAGAGTACTGCAGTGGGTTGCCATTTCCTTCTCCAGGGGATCTTCCCGACCCAGGGATTGAACCGGGGTCCTCCCACATTGCAGGCAGATGCTTTACCATCTGAGCCACCAGGGAAGCCCCCAAGTTTAGCTTAGCTTAATTTAGCTTAGCCTACCTTTAATACCCCGGTGGATTGAGGAAGAAAAAGGGAGTGAAGTTTCCCTAATGCAAGGCTCAGCACACTTTCCCTGTCAAGGACCAGACAGTAAAGACTTCCAGCTTTGCGGGCCGTTTCCTGCAGCCCCTCCTGTGGGACTGGGCCTGCCTGTGGTCCAGGGCAGCCTGGCCTCTGAAAACAGGCTGCAGGCTGGATTTGGCCCTTGGGCTGTGGTTTGCCGACCCCTGCATCAACAGATTGTGTGGGTGGCCATGATGAGATGATGACTTTGCTGAAAGTGTGCAAGGTGGTAAGCAACCACAGATACACAGTCGTGTGCAGCCAGTGGAAAGAAGTTTGGTAGGTCAGCTCGCATCTTCCCCTACGAGCTTCTCTCTGGACATATTCACTCAAGTGGCCAGTGGTAAAATACTGTGTTTCGAGCACATGGCTTGATTGTCAGTTGTGTGACCGAGTGGCCAGGCTCGGCACTCGTTGAATATACCTCTCATTGTGCTCATCTGTGGTCGTGCTGGTAGCGTGTGATGGGCCTGGCTACCCTGAAGACCCCGAAGGACTTTATCCCCCAACTGCTGTGGGGGTTGGTTGCTGCTGGGTCACTGTAGCTGCTGGCTCAGTCTGCAGCTGTGGGTCCTCTTCGGGAGCTTCCCCCGATGAAGAGTCCTGCCTCGGATGAGGGTGTGGTCAGACTCCCTCCCTGGAGCAACTCTGAAGGCCCATCGGCTCCTTCCTGCCCCCCCGCCCTTGCCCAGGTGAATCCCAGGGACAGTTCCCTGTAAACTTCCTGCATGAGACTCCCCACCTCATGCCTGCTCTCTGGAACCGACCCACAACACTGCTCTGTACTTTTCTACACTGCAGCCTTGAACTCTGACTTAGGACACTGTTTTCTAATTATTTAGTAGAAGGACAGATGGTGCCTGTTTAATTTCAGGCACGGGTAAATGCAAATTAGGTAGACTTGCTATTTATCCTGAATGTGAATTTGCTATTTATTCTAAATATTGATTTTATGTTACATGACATCGAACTTACTGCCAAATAAAAGTTTGAATTGTATTGTCTGGTTTACCCTCAGTCATCTGCTTTTGTGTGCTTCAGTTAGTGTGCAAAAGTCATATCACATTCTAATGTACCCAAAAAAGAATATCCCCGAGAAAGGGGGCAAAAGGTTGATGGTTCATTCCTCACCACCCTGGTCTCCCCACCCTCAGCAAAGCACACTTGCCTGTTCTCAGAGCTTGAAGACCATGTAGTTAAGCCACAGAAGGAAAATGAGTGTGAATCTGGCCTTAGGTGGGCAGCAGGTGACCCACCTAGAATTTCTGTCTCTCACAGACAGTTCCCTCCTTGAGAACAAGGAGAAGACAGTGATCCACCTGTTT